CCCCAAAACCCCAAAACCCCAAAACCCCAAAACCCCGAGTTATTGGGAAGGTGTTGGGATATAATTAATATTGGAACTATGGAGAATAGTCAAGGTGAGTGATGTCAGGGGGGATGGGGTGAGGGAAGGAGGAGTGGAAAAGAGGAGTGGAAAAGAGGAGATGAGAGGGGATAATAAGGGAGAGTTTGTGGATTTATGAGGAATCTGGATTTCTGGGATTTAGATAACTTCTGATGACGTAGTCTGCATAAAATGGACTAAGCTTTAGAAATAAATGAGCTACCAATACTATTAAACCGAAATTTCATGATTAAAGGGCTGTACTATTTTAGTTTTCGTTTATTAACCCTCCTCTTTCTCTCATCATACTTTTACCCAATTTCTATTAATTTTGCCTGATTTTTAAAGCAACCTTTAAGATTAAGTATCCCCACCTAAAAATTTCCACTTAAAAGCAATTTTTCCTCTAAGCCCAAATTCCAAAGCCCCTTCTTTTCACAGTCCTAATCTCTCTTCTAGAAGACCACACCCCCTCTGTTGCTATGCCGACTGAATTTTTAGCCAAGCGGCCAAGCGAGGGTAGTGAAGACAGCTCTCACTTTGAGAAAGAAGTGGACTTAATGGAGATTCATGAGAAATTACTCGTGAATAATCAGGAAGTCCAGCAAGTGCTGGGTAATGGAGGGCTGAGTAAAGAGGAAATACAGAGAGAGGTTACGGCCAAGAATGAGTATGCTAAGGAGTTACTTGAGGCTATGAGGGATCAGATTATTGAGTGATACCAGATGATTGAGAATAATGCGGTGAAGAAGGTACAGGGGGTTGAGGAGAGGAAGGATGTGGATTTGAGTGTTCAGGAGAGTTATCAGGATTGAGATGATGAACTTGATAGGGTGAGTGAGCAGTTTAGTGGGATGATTAGGCTGGGGTTGCCGGTGAAGAGAACTGTAGTGAAGTATCAGATTTTTAAGATTATTAAGGCTTTTGTGGGAAAGGATTTAACGAAATCATCGCTTCCTGTCTTTCTTAATGAGCCTTTGTCTCTTCTTCAAAGGATGTCTGAAGTAGCAAAATTCATACATTTAATTGAGAAAGCAATGAGATTTACAGATCCTAATTTGAAGCTTGCATATATTGGTCTTTGGGCTGCATCAAATTTTGCTGGTACAAGACAGAGACTTTTTAAACCTTTTAATCCAATCCTCGGCGAAACCTTCGAGCTAGAATGTGCGAACTTCAAGCTATATGGAGAACAGTACTCTCACCATCCTCCAATTGGTGTGATCTTCATTGATGCCCCTAAATTTACAGTAAGTGATACTCTTTAATTCTTAGCTAAGAGTAAGTTCGTGCTATAAGACATCATTTTGGGGGAAATACATCGATTTGGTCCCAACATCACCAATCGGTACTTCACATTGCTAATCCATAGTCATTGAGTGTAAAGAGACTGGTGAAATTTATGAATGCTTCATGCCAAAATCGTGAATTCAGAACATCATTATTGGAAACATGTACATCGATCATTATGGAATTATTAAGATTATCAACAGAAGCACCAAAAAGAAATTTGAGCTAAACATCTCTGGATTTTCAGGATGGTTCAAGAAAGCTGATCAAAGAGGTAGGGTTACAGGAACACTTTATGAAAAAGAAGGTAAGGCTCTCGAGTAAATCTAGGCGACCAAGAGCCGATAGTTGAGATCAGAGGCAACTGGGATGACCAACTTTCCCTTAAATATTACAAATCTAAGCATCCTAGATTTCAGAAAATATGGAAGAAGGACCCTGAGCCTAAAAATTGGGATGACATTTATAAACTCTCGATCTTTTCCTTACAATTGAATAAAATTTCTAAGAAGAATAAGAGAACTCTTCCTCCAACAGATTCAAGGTTCAGGCCCGACCAGAGAGCTTTAGAAAATGGAGATCTTGATCTTGCTGAAACTGAGAAAAAGAGACTTGAAGAAAAACAAAGGCAAGAGAAAAAGCAGAGAGATGCTAATGAAGAGGAGTACAAGCCGAGATATTTCCAACAAGTAAGGCATCAAGGTTCTCATTTTATAGGTAGTTGTTGATAGAGTAGATACCCAAGGGACTTATGAAGATTATGTCCCTTGCTGAGATTATTGGAAAGAGAAAGCGAACTTTACTTTAAATATATTCTAATAAGATTTTATTGATTTCTATGATACCATCTCATTTTTATTTGCAAAATTTCTATAATTTCTGACAAGGGAGGGGTTTTGGGGTTTTGGGGTTTTGGGGTTTTGGGG